CTCTCTCTCTCTCTCTCTCTCTCTCTCTCTTCTCTCTCTCTCTCTCTCTCTCTTCTCTCTCTCTCTCTCTCTCTCTCTCTCTCTCTCTCTCTCTCTCTCTCTCTCTCTCTCTCTCCTTCCTCGTCACACTCTCAATCCATCTAGCCCGATCTGCCGTCTCACCCTTCCGTTCTCCACCCACGCAACGCGTTCCAGCCGCCACCGACACCCTCTCCCCCCCCCCGCCCGGTGCAACCTGCCTCTGTCCCCTGGTCCTCTTCCTCCTTCCATCCCCTCTGTCTCTCCTGTTACTCCATCGCGGTGCCACTCTCACGCCGCCAGCAACCGCGCAGACCCCGCCTAATCGTGCCACCCCCGGCTTGATTAAAGAACAGAGAAGCTCCAGCGTGAGGGTCGCTGTCGTTAGGTCTTCTCTCTTCCGCTTTCTCGGTTCCGTGTCGCACCACCGTTTCTTGCTTCGCCCGCATCATCGTTCTTCTTTTCTTGGTCATCGTCCATAGGGTTCTTCTGAGCCAAGGTCCTTCATACAAGTCGGCCACGTGGACGTTCTAACGTCCCGAGAAGCCACACGACCTGACAGTTTTGCCACGCAGAGGTGGCATTCATCATTTTCCTCTTCTCCTCGTGACCTCACTTCCTCTTCGTTTTGCCGTTCATTCCGTCTCTTAAACTTCCCTCTCCCCTTTCCCTACCATCGAGATTTCAAGGTTACTTCGCGCGAGGTCGTATATACCATCATAATAAATTCTCTACGTGCCTCTTATACGTCGTATAATTGTTTAAAATACATGAATTTAAATGTTTTTCTTTCATCATTCTGAATCGAATGTACAATCAGAATTTGAATCACGTTTTGTCTGGATAAGAAAAAAAACGTTATTCTGCTAAAAGCTTAACTTTTTTCTAATTAAATTTGTATCTAAAGTATTGGTAATTAAAAAGTTAATTAAAGTTAAAGTTTGAGAAATTCAAACGCGCGTTTATTAATATTAATAATTTATATTATATTATATAATTAATATATAACATAATATATAATAATATATTATATTATATAATTTATATAATATTAATAATTTTTATAGGGCTCTTCTTCAAACCTTTTTTCAAACCGTTACAAGATAACGCTTGATTGAATCCACTCAGCTTTAAATTCTCCGTTCTGAACCGTTCTACGAAAATACTTGTTCTCTCCCGTTTCCAACTTAGCTCGCGCGTCCCACTGCTCGTAAAAGCCGAGAGAGAACAGGCGTTTTCTCGACGGTTTTCTGAGACGCGAATTTCGTCGCCGGAGTCGAGGACAAAACGCGAATTGTCGACGCCGAAACTGGATCGCCACGGCGTTGATTTTCAGGAGCGACGTTTGGATGGACAGACGGTGCTCGACGACGGTCGCCGCCGCCGCCGCTGCCGCCGCCGACACCGTCGCCTCCGCCGCCGCCGCCGCCGCCGTCGCCGTCCGTCGCCGAGATGAAATTGCATCGCCGCCGGGCGGAACGAGATGCCGGGACGACGAGCTCTCGCGCGAGAAATATGCAAATCCAATCGGACCGGACCCGCGCGGTCTTTCGTCCGCATCTCGCAAAGCGGTTTACCGAAATGAGTATTTTTCTATTCCGCGCTCTCGCGCCTTGATCCGCCAGCGCGGCCGCCTTTTCGCATGCGTTCCCGCACACGGCTGCTCTCGATTATGCGATTTCGTTAATTAACGAATTAATCACTCAGGAGCGAGGACACTCAGTGTGTCGCCTCCTCCACGTGGTGGATACGGTAACTCATAAACGTTAATTCTTGAGATCTTTATGGAAATTTCTAATACGAAATTGCAACAATTCTTGTGTTAGAAACCAATAATATTTTAACGAACAGGAAACGTGCCGAGACATCTTAGGAGACATTATGTCTCTAATCAAATATGTATGTTCTTCGTTAAGCATGTTTTTAGAAGTGGTACGGTAACGGATGCGTGTTACTTTGAAGTTACACAACCGAGCCTTGGTGACTTAAAGTGATTTCCGTTTCTTCCACAGTCGCTCTTGAAGACGGCCGACCAGCTGAAGATCAAGGGCTTGTGCGAGGTGCCGGAGAACAGAGACGGTCCGCCACCCGTGAGCTTGAGCTCGCCTCCGAGGGAGTCCGGCACCCCGAGATTGAACTACACAAAGCTGAAGAAGCATCACCAACGGTATAAGAGACCCAGAATTGAGCGGCCCACGTTTGAGCCGCGTGCCACCGACCCGAGACATTACGATCGTTACAAAGAAGAAGAAGCCAACAACGATTATAGCCGCGATAACAAAGAGGTAACTTCCCCTACCTGAGAGATGCGACTAACAAGAGATCCTTGCCAAGTGTTAAATTCTGATTTTAATAAAACTTTGTATACATAGATAGATAAGATAAATAGATACATTTAGAAAATATCAATTGCGGCTAAAAAATTATTTTTAGAGATGAAACCCTCTCTTATAAGTAAAATGGATTTTAGATTTTTTTCTTTAGAGTTTATATCTCAAAAATTATTTAAGACAAAAAAATTGTATACAAAAGTTTTATAATAATATTACTTCTATTTATTGATAAGTAATATTTCTAAAAAATAATTATTTTCAAAAAAAATTGAACATTTTTAAAAATAATTTTTTTTAATATTATTAAAGTGAATATTTAAATGCTAATTTTATTATAAAATATATAACATTTTTTTATATTTTAGAATTTTTGAGATGTAACGAAAAAATCTAAGATCTGTTTTATTTACAAAGCTTCTTAAAAATCATTTTTAGTCGCAATTAATGATATTTTTTAAATTTATTTATGTAATCCATTATTTATGTGTTTACAAAACTACTAAACAGAATTTGACATTTCGAGAGATTTCCTTGTAAAGCTGTTTTCAATGTTCAGCTACTCTAGTAATATTTTATTATCAAAACTTAATTGTAATAATTAAATAGATGAGCAATCGGTATATATATATATATATATATAGACCGTTAAAAATGTAGCACATAGTTGGCAGCAAAAATAACTGTCCTTGAATTTATATAATTTCAAAAATAAGATTATTAGGCACTAAACTGTAATTAAATGTATATTTTATGAAACATCGAGAAGAGTGCTTATAATTATATAAATACGATATGTAGTTTTGAAGTTTTTTTTAATTTTTTTAATTTTTTCAGTTTTAGTGCCTATCCAGAAGTTATTTATAAAACTGATTTATTATCGAAGATAAATCTATTACTTAATTTTTAATTTTTAATAAGAACTTACAAAAGAACTCAGAAATATTATAATAATATACCGAAAGAACGATTTGTTAAAGCGATAAAAATTTGGCTAAATATAGATTTGAAAATAGTTTCGTTGAACCATCAAAATGATTAGAACACTTAAGCGAAAATTTAATTAATGAGAAAATTAAGAGAAAATTTTCAATTAATGAGAAAATTTTAATATTCTAGCAACCATCATAGCGTAATTATTTTGATGGTTCAACAAAATTTTAGATTTCTAGATCTGTATCTGGTCAAGTTTTTATGCTTCAGCAAAAAGCCATTTTTCCGTGTCTAGATTATGTTTATAAAAAATTTAAATTTGTGTTATGTGAAAAAATTATCGCAACATAGATAGCTCATCTGAAGTTTAGCTATAGTAGCAGAAAATTGATCGCTTGTAAAGAGAATTGATACGCGTTGAAAAAGACAAAGTGAGGAAAACGCAACGGCTGTCCCGTGTCTTCGGGCGGTTCGATCTCGTCAGGGTCGACGCTAAATTCGTACCGGATATTCCGCAGAACCACCGGGACTGGCAGGCTGAAGATGACGAGTGCACGGAGACAGCAACAGCAGCAGTAGCATTGGAAACTTGCCAACGTAATAATAATAATAACAACAACGGTAACGGCACAAGTAACAACAACGGTAAGTAAACCGCGTAAAATTTTTGCCCCACACCTGGAACTTCGTACTTGTCAAATTTTATTCCTTTTTTTTTATTGGTTTTTTAATAAAATCTAAATGTTAAAAATCAATTTATTTTTCTTATAAAAATTGTTTTGGTCTATTACAAAAATTTTTTCCAAATAATATTTGTCAGCACACTATGTGCATTTTAAGTTTTGATGTGAATAGATGTCTTGTGAACAGATTTGAAAAAAAGAAAGAAACATTTTTGTCGCGGTTATTCGGGAGCTCCCAGGTGTGGGGCGATTTACCGTTTCCAGAATCGATCAGGACAGACCCTTTTCACGTTAAATAAAAAGGTGACATGTTTTGTCACACAGGGCTAGGGCACTATGGCCATCATCCGGATCCCGGAGAGGTCGATTTGCCCCCCGAGACTCAACCTACCCCTCCCAGCGCCACCCTGGTCGGCACTACCATCACCCACTTGAGGGATCCAGATCATCATACAGGTATAAAACTTTACGATTCTTGAGTACTGTTTCTTACCCCTCGAGAGAATAGCGATTCTCGACGACGATCGTTGTAATCATACAAGTGCATAAAAAAAAGAAAAGTAATCACTTTTAATTTTTTTCGAATTTTTTTTTTTTGACAATTTTTACTAATAAACAGCACAAAATAAAACTAGGACGGAGGGAGAATGGTCCCAGCGGACTTAATCGCGAAGAGATATTGTAAATGGGACGCATATATCTTGTTGGTCACGAAAGGGTAATAAAGGGAAAACTATATGCATATTTTAAGAACTATAAAGGAACCTTTTTCAAGCGCACAAATGCAGTAAAAATACTAATTTCTTAAGATGATAATATTTAGTAAGCATATGTGTAAATCGCGACTCAAGTCTACAAAAAATTCATCGCGGTAAAGCAACAAGATTATTGGTTTGGTTTAAGTATTTTACGTTAATTTTATTGCCTTTAGAAATATATGATTCTAGCTAGAAGTTCTTTTCGCAAAAATTCTCTGGTTCTATCCGATTTATGTCCACTTCTACCAATGTATATTGTAACTTTAATCTCGGTTTAACTGACTTTGTATCTTTTGTTATTTTTAAAAATTAGAAAAAAAATGAAGATTAAAATAAACCGAGATTGAAGGTAATCTACATTGGCAAAGTTGGATATTCGAGTGTTATTCTCGCGAACTCCGCAGTTGGATGACTAAATATATCCAGTTCCAATAGTGTATCGATGATCATCGTGTCTTGTTTCGCTATCACCGCCCGATAGAAGTCTCCCATTTACTCGGGCCATTCAACGTCGGCCGGCCGTCGTACGTTTCTATTCGTCTCTTGGACGCGGCGTGGAGCAAAACACTATCGGGCTGAAAGTGCAGCCGGTCATTAGGCGGACAGGGAATCAAAATAATTGGCCTAATCACGCTTAACTGGTCGCGATTAGATTTGCGTTGCTCGGTCCGTAGCACCAGCCCACGCAACCTCATTTAGCGTCCTTCCGCGTCCAGTTTTGCCTTCGACAGCGCTCGCTTATCGATCCTCTCAGGTGCCATCGAGGCTTACGCGGAGAGTAACTTCCGCGAGTCCCACGGCGAAGACATATACCGTCGCGAAAGTTATCGATGTCGGGCTTCCCCGATACGAAACGCCAACAGCAGCGGCGTGTCATGCCTATTTCCCGCGGTCTGTTCGCAGAGATTCAGAATTGCGACAGCGTCAAAATCAAGTTCGAGACGCTGCACACGATGGACTCCTCGGACACGATCGACATAGACAGCCACATGTCGGATCGGGCGAGCGTTAGTTCGAAGAATGCCGCCGACAGCGACAACATGATGATGATAACGCCGGAGCTGCTGGGACTGATGCCGTCGGGAAGCTCCGGTCAGTCGGATTCGGGCGAGAACAATTCGAGGGGGCACAGCGGACAATCCAGCTCGCATCATCACGGATCGAAATCGTGGACGCAGGAAGACATGGACGCGGCTTTGGAGGCGTTGAGAAATCACAACATGAGCCTGACAAAAGCCTCGGGTAAGAAAAAACAGAAATGACATCCGTATCGCCATTCGCTTTGAACATTCTATTGTCAATTGTGTAATTATGTAAATCATTTAATCATTTTGGAATTAGAACTAATCCTCAAAAATTCTGCTCTTATTTGAAATCTATGAATATTTCTTCCATATTAGATAAAGTTATAATTTTTAATAAGTTCCAAATTAAAACTGAAATAATATCACAATTATTAAATTGATGATTAATTTTATATTATTAATGCATTTTAAAGATCTTGATTTAATAAAGAAATTATTATTATAGACTCTCGGAATTTGCACACCAATGATAGTGTTGGTTCTTATTGACTTTTATCTTACCAATTTAATAAATCGAATTTTTATAAAATATAGCGTTAATAATATAATGATGAGTAAATTAACATTTCAGCAACATTTGGTATTCCATCGACGACTCTATGGCAACGGGCGCATCGATTGGGCATTGACACGCCGAAAAAGGACGGTCCCACGAAATCTTGGAGCGACGAGAGCTTGAACAATGCTTTAGAAGCGTTACGCACCGGTTCCATTTCGGCTAACAAAGCGTCCAAAGCATATGGTATACCTTCGAGTACATTATACAAGATTGCGAGGAGAGAAGGCATCAGACTGGCTGCGCCTTTCAACGCGAGTCCCACTACGTGGACGCCCGCCGATCTGGATCGCGCTCTAGAAGCAATAAGGTCTGGTCAGACATCCGTACAGAGAGCGTCGACGGAATTCGGTATACCCACGGGGACCCTGTATGGAAGATGCAAGCGGGAAGGAATCGAGCTTAGCAGGAGCAATCCCACACCGTGGAGCGAAGACGCTATGACTGAAGCTCTCGAGGCCGTCAGGTATCAAATAAGTGACTCTATATTGACATTCACACTTTTTTATATTCGATAAAATCAATACACTACCAGTAATAAATCAATGTTGATTTGAGTTTAATAAATTTTATTTATTAGACATACATGTCTTAAAAGTTTTAAATATTTGCAACACATTTCAAATCCTTTGTAGTTTTCAATTATATGAATGCATTTTTATGGAAATTTTTATATGTATAAATGTATAATAAATCATTCTATGAATGTCCCTGAATTTGCTGTTACAGATTAGGGCACATGAGCATAAATCAAGCAGCGATCCATTATAATCTGCCATATTCGTCACTGTATGGGCGTTTCAAGAGAGGCAAATACGAGGAACCCGTCGTCGGTGATATCTCGCAGGATGGCACCAGTCCACATTTCCATCAGAGCCCCAACCAGAATCACTCATCCGCCCTTCCAGATCAAATGCCTTACCCGGGCAGCTGAAACTTACCTCTTTACTAGAGTATTAAGTTAGCTTAAGCTCCGAACTTTTCGATTCGTCGCGGCAGCTCCTCGAACAACTCTTGAAACAAACAGGTGCGGGAGGTATTCTAAAAGATTAGAGACCGATCGGAGAGAATGTCATTACAAAAGCACATTCACACATACTACGATAGCGAAGAGCAGAATTTACCCGCAGTATTAAAAGTGGATCGCCGTTAAGCAAGCATTACATTGTATGATTATATGTACATTGTATGATTTTTATGTCGGAATAAGACACGTAGATTATACTAATTTATAAGAGTTATTTATAAAAAGAACATACTGTACAGACATCGGGGGGTGCCCCAATGAAAACTTCTAGTATATAAGTCACCTACATTGAAACAGTGGGTAAGAATTAGATACTAACAACGGACGATAGGATCCTATTAAGCGAAATCATGCAAGAGAAGTAATGTTTATTGTTGCTACATTACAATCGATCGCAAGAATTTGTAGCAATAATTTTTTTGAAAATATTTTTATAAAATTAATTTACATCTTATATTATCAAAT